GGCCGGGACGAGGGCGAGGCCGCCGGTGCGGCGCGGAGGAGGAGGGGACGTGGACAGCGGCTGCCGGCCCAGGTGAACAATCCCGGGGTTAAAACCTCGTCCTCCCGCGGCGCCTCCATCCCCGGAGAAGCCGCTCTGGCTGCTGCTGCGCCCCCGCCAGGGCCCGGCCCCGGCCCCGGTACCCGGCTGCCAGCGCGGCTGCGTCCGGTGCTTCCTCCCGTCTTTCCCTGGGAGCCTGGCGCAGGGAAGCATCCGGGTGCAGCGGCGCCGCTGCCCATGTACACAGGTGGACTCGTCCTCCCGACGGGCGGCCTGCACTTGGGGCGCCCTGTGTCCTACAGTCAGAACCGCAAGTTTTCCTCTCATCCAAAAATGTTTAGTAAGCACCTCACAGAAGTACTGGGATAGATCATACCTGGCCTAGGAGTGATAAGGAAGAACCTTGAAAAACCGAGCTGGTGTCTAGCTGCGCGCCCCGGGCGTGTCACGTGTCCCGGGCCCATTTCCTCAGGTGTGCAAAAGGTGATTGAATGGGACAGCCGCCCAGGTTCGTCTTAGCCTGTCTAAAAGCCCGCGACAGGTGTCAGCCTAACCCCCCAGCGGAGGTGGACGTAGGGCGGGCGGACACGCAGTGGACGGACCAGCCCCGTGCAAGAAAGGGGTGAGGATTTAGTGGGTCTGTGGTGTGGGCCCTGAGCAGCTAAAGGTGTGGACATCATTGCTCGGCCTTATTAAGTAAAAGAAAAGAGAATCCTGCTATTGAGGAAGTCAGCTTTTGGGGCTTACAGCTGCAGCCGGACACTAGCAGACGGGGATGATTTCAGCTGTTTCGTGGCGTAGACTGCTTCAGTAGGGTGGAGAGCGTTTGTCTGGGGTTGTAAGTATGACTTGGCATTGATTAGGGACGCGTCGGTAGGTTGTTAATGAGCTCGGGCCCTGGTCTCCGGGGAGAGGAAAGGGTCGTATTTCAATATGCGCGAAAGCTAGCATGCATGTTTACAGAGACTTATTTCTAAGGCGTTCTTTATGTCAGCACAAATAAGATAAATATAAAAACGTAACAGTCTGAAAAACAGACAAAGCAACAAGGTATTTGGTAGTGAGGGTACTGTTCGCCAGTTCTATGATTTATAATTACTGGATATTAGCAGTCCTAGGGCACCCTGAGAGCACTTACTAGGCTTAAAACACCATCCAAAAGAGTGCATTTTAAAACCTCTGAAGGTGTCTTTCACCTAATTGTGCTCACGATGAAGAGCAAACACGGGAGGATTAAGCAATTTACACTAATAACATAACCAGTTAGAGGTGGAGTTAGATTTGACCCTCCCTGTGCGTTTAGCTCCTAAGCACAGAAAAGAAATATCCAGACAGTGTCCCTCCCTGCTCAGGACTCGTTAAGGGCTGCCGCCTACCAGATACTTTGTTTCTTGTCTTTGAAGATTGACTGCATCTCAGCACACGTATATATGAGAACATTTACCCAGGGAGAATAACATATATTTGTAATGAATGTATATTAGTGTATGTTAGCCTTTTGGTTTTGCATCTTTTGCTGTTTGATAAATCTTGATTTAGCATTCTCATTGTGGGAAAAATGCAGTGTGAGTCTGCCAGCTGCTTTGGTACATTGGCTTGGGAAAAATATCAAGAAATATTTATATAATTTTATATACTTTTTATATGTATTTATATACTTATATACTTTTATATATTTTATATATATTTATATACTTTTTATACATTCGTATAGTTTTTCTTCAATTTGTATACAGGTACCAACTGTTGGACATGACCACCTTAAGGAAGTGGTAGGGGTAGGTTAGAGTTTTTGCTTCTTACCTTACAAATTAGGTTTGAGCTTTTCAAAGATCCTTGGGACAAGCATATGTTTTTCTATGATATAAGCTAAAAAGAGAAGCAAAAGAATAGAATTAGTTCACTGTCTAAATCTCCCAAATAAGAGAAATTTGTATGTGCCTGAACTCATCGTGTTGGTAAAGGAGAGAAATGAGACTCAGGTGATCAAAGAGAGCGCGGGGCTCTGGTGGTGTCATAGGTGTTGAGCAGAGGAGGGAGCTTAGATGACTGATGATTTTTACCCTTAGATGATTTTTACCCTTTCTGACAGGAGCTGTAGCATACTCAGTTCTCCTCCTCAGTGAGAAGGCCTTGGTACCCACCGAGGAAGAATTCCTGTCCTCCCCATCTTGCTGGTGGCAGTAGGCATTGGAAGCATCATTATTCTCTACAGAGCAATCTGTAAAAGGTAGAGCAGGAGAAATCAGTTTGCCTGGTCTGTCACTCATGAAGTTATGGCTGCAGTTTCTCATGAAACTGTGTGACTTGAGGTATAATTATACTTAATAATATAATCAGGAGCAACAGGTTATCATCACATTAGTCTAGTCTGATGCATAGATGTTGAGTAAATATAATCCTACAGTCCTGCCCAGTTCTATGTAAAATTAATGAAAATTAATGCTAAGAATCTTAAAATTGATACACATCCCTTCTCAGATTTAGAAATCCAGAATCAAATACATTCAGACCTGAATCAAGAAACATTCTTCTTGTGTATTATACTGGAAGGAAATCTAAATAAATTTAGTTCATTATAGTTTTATCATAGTAATCCCAAGAAAAACATCACTGTAAGAATGTTTTGCGGAGAGAGACTGACAGTTTTAGGTGTTGTTCAACATTTCGTTTAAGGTTTTAACTATGTTTTAGGCAGAAGGAAACCTCAAAGTGTTGATTTAGGACACTCTTTTAAATCAAGTGCAAAATCTTACCCTACTAAAAAGCCAGTTTGGGTGAAACTTTTTTCCTCTAAGTGAAACTACTACAGCATTTCCCAGTGGGTAGCATTTTGGCTTCCTGGGAAAACTAAACACACATGTGATGTGAATTCTCTGTGAGGCAGTGGAAACGCCTAGCTCCCACATAAGCTCTCTGTAGGCATTTCCTATACTGGCATTGGAGGATAAAAGGGGCTTGCACCAGCCTTGATTTTTCCTAAATCTTGAATAATAGGCTACTCTGAATGATAGCCACATAGCTAGATTCAGTATCCTTCACCTTGTAGCCGTTTTTTGGTTCTCTCTATTTAGAAGATACTTATTTACTGTTTTGTAAAATGACATTGTTTCAGGTTTATTGTCTGGGCAACTTTTGAAAACTACCAGTCATTTGTTAAGACAAGAGCTGTTTGACTTATTGGTGCAGAAGCTGAAATAAAAAACCAAAACAATTTTTTAAAACTGTGGCACAACTAAATCTTGTGTTTAGATCACCTGCCTTGCCTTAAGACACATATTAGTAGGGGGCTGGGGATTTAGCGCAGCGGCAAAGCGCCTGCCTGGCAAGCACAAGGTCGTGAGTTCGGTTCCCGGAACCAGAGAAAAACCAAAAAAAAAAAAAAGACACATATTAGTACATGTCTGCTGTATATTACCACCCTGGCTGCTACATTTTGCCTTTATTTTAAAATTTTATTTATTTATTTATTTTTTGAGGTACCGCGGATCGAACTCATGACCTTCCACTTGCCAGGTAGGCGCTTATGCCGCTGAGCTATATCCGCAGCCCCACTGAGTTATATCCCCAGCCCCACTGAGCTATATACCCAGCCTCAGCATTTTGCCTTTAAAAAGCACACATACATACACACCCCTACCTCAGCACCAACCAAAGGTAAGGCCCCCAGCCACTTGTGTGTTCAAAGTGGCCGCCATCTTCCTCGGACTGTGTGAGTTCAGCTGAGCCAGGGATGTGCTGATGGCTGTGCTGAAGGCATGCTGAGAGTGGGAAATGTGAACAGGGGCTCTGTGTTCCTTAAGGCCTTGCAGGCCTGCCGAATTCTGGGATGTGGGAGTGAGGCGAGGGAATGAAGTAAAGGTGGAAGAAACAGCTATGAGAAGAGCCGTGTTAGGGACTGAATGAAGCAGGCCGTGGATACCTTCTTCACTTGTGCTCTGGAGACTGTTTGGGGGCCTAATTCAGGAAACCTTCTGCAAGTGGAAAACAGGAAAGTCCAACTCAGGGTGACTCTGAAGAAATGTTGAGAAGCCTTTTAATCTGCGACTGGGAGGGAACTGGGAGAGACGGGGAGAGGGGGAATCGTGAGTCAGCTGTGGCTGCAGGGAGCTCCTGTGTGGCTTTGCGGAGGATGGAAAGGAGAACTAGAAAGAGGAACTGGAGCCGCCTGTGCATGCCTGATTTGAGGGCCAGCCGTGCCAAGGGAAAGTGCGTAACGAGTCGGGGCGGGTAGTCAGCCGCCTGTGTGGGGCGGCGCGGAGAACTTCACCCAGGCCAGGTGCCCCAGGAGAGCCGGTGACAGTGCACTCTGAGCCCCTTGGCCCTGCGGCGCAGCGAGGGGACTGGGCCAGCAGAGGCCAGGAACAGAGGCAGGGGCGGGTCCTGTGTCCCCTGTCGGGAGTTCTCTCCTAACTGTTCTGACCGCACAGGTTAAGGCAGGACCAAGGCAAACTTGGACCCACGGCAAACCAGGTTTCTCTCACGCAGAGCAAAGGCCCCTCGCAGAGAACACAAAGCCAAGCCAGCAGAAGTGGCTTGCACATCACCTGTGACTCCTAAGAAATGCCCTTTGCTCCATGGACCTGATGTGATGGGGAAGAGTAGAGCTTCTTCAGCAATTACCTTCTTACTGCTGTTCCCAAGTGATGTCTGCAGTCATGTTTAATGGATAAAGGTGCCCCCAACTCACCTTTATAAGGGAGTTTAAATACAAAATTTTGTTGGTTTATTTTTTATGTTTATTTTTATTTTACTTTATTTCATTTTATTGTTTGTCTTTTTGAGACAGGGTCTTATGATGCAGTTCGGGCTGGCCTTGAGCTCACTTTGTAGCCCAGGCTGGTCTCAAACTCACAATGATCCTCCTGCCTCAGCCTCCTGAGTGCTGGGATCACAGGCATACACCGCCATGCCCGGCTTGTTGTTTTATTTGCAAAAGGCAAATTTGACATACATTTTGATTTTCTGTTCTGTGGCGTGTGGTATCCCCTGGCAAGTTCAAAGCCTCTGCAGTGGGCCTTCTCAGTGGTGTC